CAGAAGGGAAACCAACCAGTTTACCCAGTGTGGTAAACCCATCTCCCTATTGAAATGTACACCCATCTCGCTATTCCTTTGGGACAAGTGGTTGCAGCAGTGGGCCGTCATCGGGTGACATCTCTCAACTTCAAAGTGCCATTCAGCAGTTCACTCAAAGAGGTACAGGAAAGGGTGTCCCCAACCCAGATTGAGAGAGAGAGAGAGGTTCTTCCAGCAACATGCTGTCGAAAAAGATTGAACATTCATTCAACTCAACCAGTGTTTGTTGAGAAAGAACATCAATTGGGCCAATCCGGTCTTGATGTCCGGATTTGCGCGAAGGCCGGATGGGCCAAATGGAGCCTTTCCCCGCAAAGTAAGTGTTTTCTTCCATTTTTTGTGGGGGTCCTCATGTTGGCCAATGGCAGCGTAGAGTCATGTTGGTTATGCGAGGTACATTCTTTTCATTAGATGCGATCGTGAGCAAAAACAGCAATGTAGACAACTACATTGCTCCATCCCCCTTTAGCTCAACACAAGCAAGTCTACATATCTGCTGCCTGCCAACAAGTTGCCGCTGTCCCCAAGTCCTTCAGCGCTCCTTCAACGACCAAGGCTTGCTCCTGCAGGCGGAGGCCAATCCTGAGCAGAAGACCTCCAAAGGCCAGCGGGGTCGAAGACATACATGATGGTGATGATGTGCAAGGCATACATGTATACTTAGGTCAGTGAATCTGAATAGTTTAGATGTTTCCAGCACCTGGACTTTGGTTTGCTTATTTTCATCCAGCGGGTGGTTGAATTGCAGTTGGAGGGTCAATTGTTGAGGACTCGGACGTGGCTTTTCTATACGACCCTTATCTCTTCGTGCTCCATCAGTGGGCTGAGCTGTGGCATGCTGTGGCGCATTGCTTCTCCAGCACCATTTGAGGTTCTGCATGATTTTGCACTCCAATTGGCATGTTTTTGTTTGAATGAATTCACGACCTTCCTGAAGAAAAGCCACGACCTTCGCAGAACACCCCGTGGGATGATCCGAGAAATGAGCCCATGGGATGGTCCCTTCCGCTTCGATCGGCGGCTGAGCCGCCACGGAGATCCGCGCGGAAGATTCCTCGCGATATTTTTCGAGGTCGCATTGCGCTGGATCTGGCGCTGGAGGCCGACGTCGAAGGTTCCCACAGCCGGGGCAGCACAGGTCGGCGTTTTCGGGTTCCCACGGAGAAAGGGGGCGCTTTTGGCGACGGCCGCATTTGTTGGGTGATCCTACGAATCCTACGATGTTCGCTTGAAATCGCCCCAGAGGGTCCAAGATGAAGCATGATGAAGCTGAAGTTGAATCGAACACTTTCCAAATGGTTTTTATACCCCATACACTCCATGGGACTGCCATATATGCCGCTCCATTGGCCCCTTTGGCACCACCCCTGGCCTGATCGGCAGTCCTATGGCAGTCCCATGGAGCGTCTGGGGAAGGATCAGTGTCCTTCGAATTCCGGTTTTGAAGTGCCTTTCCTTTTCAGATCTCCGATGTTCAGTTTTGTGGCGCTGGGGGCGGCTGCCTTGGCGTGCCCGCGTTTTGGGCGCTTCCGTCTCAGACTTGGCACGGATTTGGTTGGCATCCTTTAGGAGGCTGATTGGAAGTGCTAGGTAATGTAGACTCTTGATTAATAAAGCCCCCATGTAGAGGACTTCCAATTCAAATGGAGGGGTTTATTGATCAAGAGTCTAAATTAGGGGGCCAGTTCACGAATTCGATGGGAGCAAAGGGGGTCGATGAGATGGTTGATTTGTGCCCGATGAAAACATCGGCGCCCAGGGCGGTGTGCCTTGGTCATTTTTTGGTGCTGATCACTGGTGGTGATTGGACTAAAACAGTATACAGTAGACAGTAGACTGTTGATTAAACAAAAACTCCAGATCAAGAGAGGTGTTACAATATATCTAAATGGGGAGCCCTTCTTCCTTAACAAGCAACAGTCCCGGGCCCTGGTCCTGGTTGGGTTCTCCGAATCGTCGTCCGACATTGATTGAGGTGAAGTCATAGCCCTTTTGCACAAGAAACCGGTCTTCCTGACGGTGCGGCATTTGATCGGGCAGGAGGCAGCCAAGACGGAATCGAACGTCATTTAAAAAAGACTTGATGCCATCCATGGTTTGTTTTGTGGAATCCCGGTGGAGTTCGATAGAAAGGTGAATTCCTCAAACACAAGACCCCCTTTCTGAGCACCGCAAGTCTCCGGCTCACCCAAACGAACTAAGACAGTGCACCGTCGGCCGACTCCGGGCGCTCGGCGAGGGTTCGTTGCGTTTTGGGCACGGACCATGCGCAACTCAATGATGCTGGGTTTTTCCCCAGAGGCCTCAGGTTCTCGACAAGAGGAAGTGTCATGTCAAGCTCGTGACCGATCTGAGTTTACTGTAGATTTTGACCTGACAGAAACTACTGGTCGAGGCTTGAAGATTTTAGCCAGGTTTACTGAAGAGAGCCTCGAGAACAATGAAGCCATCAATATTCAGCGACGTGCCCAACAGAAACCCAAAGGCAACAGACACACCACGAAACCAGGATCCAAGAAGACTGAATCACATTCCACCATCTATGTGGCACAAGCACCGTGCCAGGACCACTTTGGTGTTGGGTTTGCAAAGGATTTCTTCTCCATGTTTTCGGGCCGATCAACGCGGTTGCGGTATCTTGCGGCTGCGCTGCTGAACGCAGAGACAGCCATGAACCTCCAAGAGACGGCGCAAGATATATTGGATCCAAATCACGGACACCGACTACTGTTCAAATCTGTGAAAACACTTGAACACTAGAGCAACTCATTGAGGTGCACCAACCAAAAGCGATAACAAAGTGCTTTTGGCAAGAACTGGAACATGTAAAGCTCCGAGAGCTCTGGCAGCTGGCGCCAATCCGGTGTGATGACAAAGACCCCCATCGGCCGGCCGAAGGGCTGGCCGAATTTGCTGAAGAGAGCCTGACCTGAGCAGCCCTGGCTTTTGCTTCAAGCACCCGGCAGAACCGACAAAATTGTCCTTAGCATGTTCGGCGCAGCAGAAGTTGTGACCTGCTTCAAGCTGGCACCGTTTGCGGACCCTGAGCATTTACCGTGATGGTTTGTGGAGGATATTCGATTGTTTACTGTACTCGTATGTGCTCGTATCAGCTTTAAGGCTCCAAGTACTTTTTCTCCTGAATCCATTCCTCTAGAAGTCTGCTGCATCCACCCTTTGTTAAGGACGCGTGAACCATGTTTGGTTTGTTCTCTCCATATCACAACTCTCGAAGATTCGGGCGGACCGAACTGATGTTCAACCCCAAAATCGCCATGGTGCCTTCTTGGTGTTCACCTCCAGTTGGTCCTGAAAATAGGTTGCGAGATACGAAATATATATATATAATATTATATGGTGTCCCAGACAGACATGCCACCAAGAGTTGCAATGAGGTGTGATTTTGGGTCAAACCAAAAACGTGAACACTTTGACCTGGACAGGGTGGATCTCGATGAGTGTAACTGCAGGTACAGTTAGTTTTGTGTTGTATCCTTGATACAGTATGAGACAGTTGGTGAAGGCGGAAAACTAACCATCAATTGAAATGCTGTCAATAAGGTAGTCTGAACACCTACTTAAGGTTACAGTCCAATGATTGATGCCTTTTCTCAACCAACTGGTGCAATTGTGTGTCTCATTGCCTTTGGGCATCAAAGGCCACTCTTCCCTGCCGCCGATCTTCCCAGTAGATGCACACGGCCGGGCTTGTCAAGAGCGGAAAAACATGTATATCAAAAAACAAGAACATTGATCCATCGCAACCAAAGCAGCTCCGGGACCATTTTCTGACTATATATTTACAGTAGGATCCAGATAAAACTCCATGTGTAAATAACTTGTTGAATATACTTGCCCCTAATTTCTTCCTAATGCAGACTCTTGATTAATCGAATTCCCCTATGTATCCCTATTATATATAACTATATATATATATATGTGAGGAGTTTAATAATCCGAATGACGATTGGTTTATTAGTCAAGAGTCTACATTACAAAAACGCTACTCAGTTTTGTAGTGGACCAGATCTTCAATGTTGGAAGTGACGTTGTTGAACGTTCCACCGCCACGCGGTTTTCTGGCGAAGCCCAACGGGTTGTTTTGCTGGCGCGGCTTCTTTTGACTGTTCAATTGCGAAAAATCGGATCATGTTTCTTGGAGGCAACAGAGCCCCAATCCAAAAGCACACATGTTTTTCACCAGTGGACTCCGGGCAGCTGTGCCTTATGCCTAGCAGAGGGTCCTAGAGGCTGGAGAGGCGGCTCAAGCAGATCCTTTGCTCGATCTGTTCGAAGCGACTGGCCAAAGTGAAACAACTGTGGTTTAAGCACCCCATGGACGACTTTGATGTGAATTCCCAGCTATTTTGGACAAGGAAGATTTGTTAAGGGGGTGGCGAGATAGTTTTTTTGTCACCATTTGTGCAGGCAGTCCATCCCTGTCTACCCAGCACTTCAGAAAAGCCAGACGCTCAGGAATTGCTATCCTATTCCTGGGTATTGTAGCGTACTGATCATCGCCATGAAACGTGTTCTTCTCTTGCGGCTGATGTCACGGAGCCCGCTTTCCACGCCGCCCTCCAGCGTTTTTCGCGGACCTTCTGAGCAAGTTCGCCCACACGGAATGCCCAAATGGCTGGGCCTTCCGAGGCGCTCAAGAAATGTGAAGCCTGAAGAAAGATGGGACCCGGACCTGAGCTGGTGGAAATTCACCACTGGCAGCCTGTGAGTGGATGCCTTAGATCATAGATATCCCTTAAGCCATCGGGTGTTTTAAGATCAAAAGGCATTGCAGATCCTGACTTGTAAGGTCAGTGAGTCCCCACTCCCCGGATGGTTGGCGAAGTATACGGCACACCGCACACCTGGCTTCACCAAGCCCACGCGTTCGCTCGGACGGGCTCTCCCAAGCCACCAGGCTTCTCCTTACTGTAATACCCGGCTGCGACTGACACCAGGTGGCTACAACGATCGACAGGACATCGCCACCCAGAACAAGCGCGCGGCAGAGGCGGAGAATGGCTATGATGACCCGTGGCGGATGCAGGTGGCCTTTGGCCACTGCAGTGTGGACGAGAGAGGACGAGAGTGTTCTGTTCCAGCTGGAGAAACGGGAGAAAGGTACAACAGTGCGAGAGGACTCACCCTGCGGTGGTGAACAGACGACCATCAAGATCAGACGACCATCAAGATCCCGGAGATCGATATATATATATATATATTGGTGGTCATAGATGGTCAATGATGGTCATAGAGACATGCCGGCGTCTTTTCGAGGGTGTCAGCTTCTTGCCCTCTCTTTCTTAACGCTTTGGGGTGCATGAGACGCCTCGGCCATCCTCGGCCTATGTTCTTGTTGCCAGTCGCTGAACGCAGACCAAACACTGCAAAGGGTTTTGAATGATTCTGCCAGTCTCATGGAGGGGTTTGAAATGTTTTGAACTATTCTGCCAGTCTCATGGAGGGTTTTGAATGATTCTGCCAGTCTCATGGAGGGTTTTGAAATGTTTTGAACTATTCTGCCAGTCTCATGGAGGGTTTTGAATGATTCTGCCAGTCTCATGGAGGGTTTGGGCCTGGTTCATGTTCGAGTTCCTTCCTTCCCCACTTCGTCCGAGGACTTTGGGCGCCGGGTGGTGAACAAGCGCGAGGGTGACAAGAAGCAGCGTGCACAGGCGGGGTTGGTATGGAACGACGTGTTACAACCACTGAAGTGTTTGGAAATAGTAACCCATAATCCCATAAAAAAGGGGTAACTGGGTAACTATATTTTTGTTGACCTTCAAGGCTATCCTGGAACTATCATAAATGAACCCATCCCCCCTTCAGAAACATATGACTTCCTGTTGGCGGCGTTGTTTTCCCCCACCCCTTCCCTGCACGGTTGGGCTTGTGGGTCGGACACCCTGCGATTCGGACTGGATCGACGTGGAAGGTCCATCCGCAGGGACCCCTCCAGTGTTCGAACACATCCACCATAGCCTGAGGTTCGGTCATAGAAACGGATCTATCGATCGGGGGAGGTACGTGGGTACGGTCCCTGGAAACCGCGGCGTTTTGGGAGGAGAATAGTAGTACAGGGGTAAATGAATGCAGGTTCTCAGGCTGAGTTTTCAGAAGTGTATGTCTCAGGTTGTGTCCATGTTTGCCAGATGCAAGGCTTCCCAATCAACTGCCAAGAGGAAATGTTTTTAGCCAAACGATCGTTCAGAGGCAATGTCATTTGATGCAGAGAGTCCGATCCCATCCCTCAACCCTTCGACTCAGTCGGGTATTGGGGAAGTTGGTCGACAGCCACTACATGCAAGGTTGCAGCAAACTGCTACAAATAGGAGACGCCAGCTACGTGAGACCGGTAGGTCAAGCTGGTGGACTGGTGCTCCAGGTTGAACGACCCATCCCCATAGAGAAGTATCTGTCAAGAGCCCATTAGACCAAAGGCATACATACCCGTTTCGCGCAAGTGCAGCGCAGAAAGTACCACGATGACAGCACCCATGTTGGATGGGCCGACTGGATGGACAAACACCTAGACCGACTAGGTCTGCTGAGTCGTGCGCTGGTTGCGAACGTGCGAACGTGGGATGCCGGCCTCTCCAGGCGGCTCTGGATCGACTCCGCAAGAAGACGTCAGGTGTTGAGGAGGCGCTGTGACACGTCAGGTGTTGAGGGGCCTCCAAGGATCAGGTTTACGCGGATGCATTTCGCCCCTCAAAGGGCACCATTTTCCGAATACGATGATTCCAGGGGGGGCAACCTTCGGCTAGCTGCTAGGCAGACAGACTTGCATCAAGAACAACGACTGGAAGGGAATGTTCCTACCTCGGCCAGAGGTTTTTGGAGTCCATCTTGGGGGTTGGGGTGTTTTCTATGCTGATGTGCAGGTGTAGCTGTTCTTTTGAGCTCTTTTGGATTTGGAAACCCTAAGTCATAGGCCATTATGAATGATTCGGAGTTTTGATTAAGAGACCTCAACGCGATGCCAACTGCTTACTCCCTATCATATGGAGCTGGGTCGATGGAAGCACCAAGAGGAGCCCTATATCCATCCATAGATGGCCTCTTGTACTATTAGCTTGTTGCTTGATGAATAGAGGGGATACCCCCCAAGTGTACAACCAATAGGTCAATGGTACCTGGCACCGGCCCCTCTCTTCCGACGAACCTCACTGCTTCCATCACTGAATCGCAACGGATGCGGCCCTGGCACGTTCCCAACAGATGCGGACCGGACCTCGAAGACCGGGGAGGTGGGCGGGTGGCTCGCATGGCCACAAGGGTCAGGGTCGCAAAGACTGGGAGGGTCCTGGACTCCGTCTTGGCAGGGTTTGGGTGTGGAGCTGCGGGACTGGTATTCAGGCCTGAAATTGAGAACGACTCGCAACTCATAACTGTTGTAGAAAACGGCGCAAAACGGCGAAGCCGTAGCTGCTGCTGCTGCGACTGGCCACATGTGCCAGAAGTGTTGGGTGGTCAAAAGTCCAGGTTTTCCATGACTTCCTTTGTAGGTTGGTCCACCGGTTGGCATCCTGATTTGGACCCATCCCCATGTCAAGGAAACAGATCGAACACTGCCTTGCACGGCCCTGGGAACCTATCGCCATCTCTCCTCAGTGCTGGACAGCTGTCCTGCAGGAAGTGGCGAAGGTGGAGGCTGCAAAGCACCGTGGCTGGTGGTGGCTGGGGGGTGCTCCTACAAGAACATCTCCTTCTCCCAATGTGAGCCCTTCCTGGTTCCCATATGTCAAAACCTGGAGCCCCAAACCCCTGTCCAAGCATCCCAAGACAAACAAAACAATCCATAACAACGCCATGCATAAAAATACGGTGAATATGGTGAAATATACGAATATATACAAACATACATATATATATATATATAATGCATGCGCATGCGTATTACAATTGATTAAGACTCTAAATATTACAGTTCAGTCCATGCATCTTCTTTGTTGAGAGGCTCCAAGTTCCGTTCTTTTGAGAGAAGGGCTTACTTCGAGATCCACGAGCATCCCATCTTCAAGAACGCTGACCCCCTGCTGCTTGTGCTCGCCTAAGGCCCCCACCACGGCGCTCACGCTCGCCCCAACGCGAGCGCGAGCACTCGCGCTCGCGGTCCAAGCGGCGCTCGCGGTCCAAACGGAGGCCACGGTGGGTGGAACGTTGTGAGATCGATGCAGCTTGGGAAGAGGTGGAACGAGGTGGTGGAAGAATTGGCAGCTCCAAATGAGAAGAGGTTCTTGGTTGAACGCCAAGGTGCCTATGATGTAATTATCTATTTGCATCTATTTGCATTATAATCTTTTGTTGTTTTTGTCGTTATAGTTTATGTAATATATAGTTATATGTGTTTCATCTTGCCAAGTGGACCCTCACGTGTCAATTGAAAACCCCAACTGGGTCGATAGATTCCCTCGTAAGACATGGTGTCTGATACTTAACTTTTGAGGGTGTTCCTCAATATGTGGATCGATAATTCCCAGTTTGCACCCCACCTCCAGACCCCTTTGTCACCCTTGGTCGCTTTTCCAGGAGCAGATCTCGCCGCAAAAAGCGACGTCGTTCGAGCTCATCCAGCAGTTCTAGGCCACCTAAAAGCAGCATGACGAAGTCTAGGCATTTGAGGTGCAGCATAGGGGCGCACACAGGGGCTGACACCAACCCTTTACTTGGACGACATCATGACATGCAGGGCACTACGAGCAGTAATAGATTGTTGGACTAGGGCACTGACCCTCCCTCCATTAGCAATTGCAATGATCAATGATGGCGTCCTGCTTGGAGCGTTGGACCCTCCAATCCCTCGTGGACATTTATTGGGCACCTCTAACAGATAGTAATAGGATGTAATAGGTACTTCTGCTTTTCTTTGGAGACAGGTCTGGACAGGTACAATTTTCCAAGAAGGTGTTGGAACGTTCTATATTCAACATTATTCAACTAGTTATTTTCTACTTGCAATCTGTAGCGGATCACCTGGGTTTGCTCAGTCTCCTAACGAATCCTCCAGCCACTTCCGGCTTTGGGTTGCTCAACGTTTGTCCGGATGCGGGAATTCACATGGGGTTTTCGATTGTTCGACAGGGGAGGGCAGGTTCTGACTGCAAAGCCCAAGTAGTGTAGGACTCCTAAACCTCCCTAGACAGTTTAGCTAGACCCTCCAGGCCACCGTTAGACCCTCTAAGCCACCTTACCACCTTGTCAGGAAGTATAGCTCTAGGGAGCGCTTTGCTCAGACCTGTGTGATCGAAAAACCGTGGTGCTGCAGGTCTTAAGGGCTTGCTCTGAAAACCGCGGTGGTGTTTAACAGACCTTTCAGCGTGGGAAAAATGGCGCAGAGTGCCTGAGGAGTTTGATGCCAGGGCTTATGATCCATATGGCCGATGATAGCACTGTGGGACGTAGATTTTCCCAGAATTGGTTGAAGGGAAGATCTACGGGACACATGATTTCCGTTCCAGTAGGTTTTCCCTCACCAATTCTGGGAAATCGGGAAGCCATTGAGCCTCGAGCAGCCCCTTCAAATGACAAAGTTACAGGAACGAGTGAGAATGGTTTTGATATGGTTGGACTATCCAGCCAGATGCCTCAGAAAGTGCTTTGACGTGGTTGGTGGGCTTGTCAGTCAGCATGTTTCGACATGTTTTGTCGCCTGACAGACTTGTGAAGGGGCTTCCGTGAGAGGAATGGGTCAAAGGTTTCCTCGTGCAGAGTTCAACCGAGCTGGTGAAGGCCTCTTCCAAGCCGTGCCATGTCATACTTGGATCGAAAGGCTGGAGATCGGTCTCTCAAAGCTTCGCTGTGCATACCCCCACTCTGGCTCAAGACCTTGTGACATTGGTGTGCAGGGGGCGATGTAAGCGGCCCATGATGCGAATCATGCGGTGACTAGATCTCTGGTTGTTATAGTTTGTTTTTTGTTAAAAAATGTGTGTGTGTGTGTGTCGTATCCTTCCTAAAGTGCACATATATATATATATATATCAAATAGAATTTTATATAATGATATGTATATTAAATACTATTCAATCATACGTATATAGTAGTACGCACCTGTAATATATTACCAATATTGTCCCTCCATGTTGATGAATCCTTCTACAATACCCAATGTAGCACCCCTGGTCCATCGCCATCATTGCTACTGTCGCCCAAGCTAGTCTCATTTCGTGAGTTCCGGGTTTGTTTTTGAAGTCCATACTTACCTTCCACCCACTCATTTGACCTGGCGACAGATTGCAACAAAAGAATCGCATCCCTGAGAAAAGCGGAGCCGCGAAAAGCGGACTTTGGGCCACCTGTGCCCAGCCATGACCATCGGCAATATCAACATCAATGACTTCTTCAATGAAGACCTACTGTCCAAGCTAAGGCCATGACCATTGGCGGGGTGTGTGTGTGTGTGCGTGTGTGGGTTCAAGGCATCTTGAACTGCAAAAGTGGTGTGTAATTGAAATGGGGACGGCGGATGAGGTCATATAATGTCGTTGTGCAGCTTGTTTTGGACCACTGCCTCCATTGAGGTTCTCGCACAAAAGCAGACAGGTCGAAAACGGCTTGCTTGTGCTGACGGGCGGGTCATAGGTTGTTGGTGATGGGCTCCAGATTTTGAGGGCAACTGTCACCTGCGTTCCGTCCGAAGGTTGCAGACTGGGATCAGAGGTGGTTTGGTCTTTGGAGCGGCATTTCAGGAAGAGTTGCAGGCCAAAGCGAAAGAGTCGAAACTGTTCCCACGTAGATAGCATAAGAGTATTTATAGGGAGTGGGCTCGCCAACGGCCTTTTGGCGCGACGCCTGACGGTCGGTATGGTGCGTTTTCCTTCCCCTCTCTCTGCGAGCTTCGCTCGCTCTTTGTGCCTCTTTCTCTTCTCTGTCTCTCTGTCTCTCTCTCTCTCTCCCGCACTGTGGCTCTTTCATTCGCTCGGTCTCTTGCTGTCTCCTAGTTTTGTCTGTCTTGGACCAAGAAGAGAACGAGCAAGAGGAAGAGGAACAGAAAGAAAAACGGGAAGGATAAAAAGAGAAAGAGAAACAGAAAGAGGAAGAGGTCGAGGAAAGGAAGAGGAAGAGGATGAGAGGAACCAGAAACACAAAACGCTGAGAATGCATTGCAACTTGGGCAGCAAAACTCGCACCACGGTAAGTTGAAACCCACTTAAGTCCAAACAAACTCCAAACACATATCCAAAAACGATCAACAAAGTCAGAAGGCCAGAAAACACCGTAGAGACAGGGTTCGGGAGTCCTTCCCGCTGGCTACATGTGGGCAAAGAGAACGCCGGCCCCAATTCGCCCAAACTGTTGCTATTGAGCCGTTGCATAGGCCAAGCCAGCTCAACAACAAACTTAGCTATCTATGTTTGCAACATCAGCAACACGTGTCCCTCAACACCAGCGTACACCTGTGCCTGCGTGCATCGCAAAATGCAGGACATGACCTTTGAACTCCCCACAAGCATGTTTTAGAAGCAGTTGCTACAGTCATTACAACCTTTGTGTGGCATGGCGCATCTACTGCATGTGGCGGCCATTTCTCCGAATGCTTTGCGCATTCCTGAAGTTCCTAGGCCCTTTCGGAGGCACCTCCCTTTCGGAGGGTCGAGAATGGTCGAACTCATTGGATCGCCTTCGGGTGGACCTCTGGGGGCCCTCAGAAGGGGCGATCAAACCGCCCGACCCACTCGGCAGACGGGTCGAACCCCCGCCAGGGCGGCCTTCACCGAGTTCGACACCAGCGGCGATGGCCTCATTGGAAAGGAGCGAGTTTGGGCTCTGCCGGAGCCAACGTGGGGATGGACCTGGTGGAAAAGAGCAAACAAGTGCAATCAGTCTTAACTAGCATATGATCATAATAGGCATATGTGGAACTAGAAAAGCAATTTTACCATATACTTGAATCAACCAAATCAATATTCAACATATGCATCTGCAAAGTGTGAGCAGGTCATGTTTTTTCCTGGAGTGGTGAAAGGACGATATGTGTTTGGCCAGTGTGAATCATATGCTGCTATTTTGTTGTTGGGTGGCAATCTCCGATGCACACTTTGTTTTTTAACATTTTGAGGTGGTAGACGTTGCTCAAGGTGCAGTTGTGTGATTTGTGTTGGTTTGCCGTGATGTGGTGTTGATCCACAACGTGAAAGGAAACATAGCTCAGCATGGCTCTTTCCAAGTAAACCTCGCTCCAGATAGGTCCATTGATCCATTCAACATGGGAAGTCCGCCGTGTCCCACACGGGGGGGGTCGATGTCTGCACGGCTCGGACGCTGGTTTTTCTCCCACGGCGACGCAGGAAGAGCTTTGCGAGCTCTTTGGCAAGTTGGGGAAGAGCCTCACCAAGAAGGAAGCCAATATCATCCTGCGAGAGGTGGCTCGGTGGAAAGAAAAGCAGAAGACATGTCGGAGTGAGTGAGTCCTGATTTGGCTCTTGAGATGACCATTAACAACGTGACACTCCATGCGGGTGTGTAGTTGCAAAAATGGGGAGACCTCCCAAACACTCCCTAGAAGAAGGGAAATCGATCAAAACCAGATCCCCCTCTTCAAATGCACGACCATGGGACTGGCACCCTTACCCATAAGACTAGCAACCCCGTTGTCAACCGCCGCAGAGCATCCATATGCGTCCAAGAGCACGAAGAACATGCGTTTTCCATGGGGGTCATCAAGGGCGTTTTCATGGGACTGGCACGATGATTTCAGTATTCCAAGTGCACTGATGACATGGAACTTGGAAGCAGTTTTGAGCATGACCATGGCCATGGTTCATGACATGAACTAGTAAACCATGCATGGTTTAGACATGGAACTTAGATGGACTACTCGGCTTGCGCTGGTGCTGCTACTCCTCAAGATTCCGCAGATGTCCGTGGTGTTTGTAAGGGTTCTGCATGGAGAAAACATTGACATTTCCAGGGCTCTAAACCTTCATCTTAGGTCACCTCCAAATCCACCCAAAGATGTTTTTGACGAATTCCTCGAGGCCACTCCTTGTTTGGCATGTCCAAGTCGGAATCCAAGCCCAAAATTTGCTGCTCAGAAGCTCAGGCGGGGTTTGCCCGCTGGGCCGCCCTTCCAGGGCCTTTGAGTCGCCTCTAGGTCGGTTTCATGCGATTGTCTGAGGTGGATGCAGATGGAAATGGCCAGATCGACGCTTGGATGCCGTTGGTGGACCGCATGTTTGGTTGGGAGACGGGGTCCCACCAGCTTCCTGGAACGTCGCGACTTTGGTTCCCCAACGTCGTGGCATCGCCGAAGGTGGCGGGTTCAGAGGAGGCTTCAGAGTCCAGCGGGTCCTTGGCCGATGTGATTAAGCCAACAGAGGTTTTTCAGAACCCTGTAGGCTATCCGTAGGTGCCCCAGCCCGACTCGCTGAGTCCTACTTGTCAGGTCACGTACCTCACCTCTCTTGGAGAAACGCCCCTGTGACCGGGCGACGCGGTTTTCAGATGCAACAAGGCTTTTCGACTTCGGATCGGGCGAGTGGAAGGCATACACGACGCCGGCAGCCTGGGCTGTTCATCGCCTCCAAGTCACGTTCTGGCCCCGTGGGAGGCCTTGGTTCTTCATGCGGTTTTGTCCACTTCGTTAGTTGACTGAGGGTGTCAAGGTGTAGCGCGTGACCATGCGTGACCTTTAGAAAGTCGGTGAATGGGGGAGGCTTCGACAAATTGGTTCTAGTGGGAGTCCTTCCTACATGCAGTCTTGAAAGTGAATCCATCCACCTTTCATCAAGCTCCACTCTCAGGCGCGCCTACACATACCACCCCTAGAGCTCCAGTCGTAGCTCAGAAGGTCTTTGGCGCCTCCCAAGAACCCCTGACCGAACCTCAGAAAAGGTAGTTGGAGCCCCAACTTCCCCCCTCATTCTTGGAAGACCTTTCGATCTGGTCACTCGTGATTTGCCTTTGGAACTTGTGGTGCTTTCCTGTGAGCTCTGAGGATTTTGAAGAACTCTGCTACCTAGAAATCCAGATGTCCGGAGTACCTTGGCATTGGTCGGCCTTCATTTCGTCGGCGATATCAGGGGCCGGACTCCGGAAAGAATACAGAGAACCAAGGACTAGGACCAGTCCTTGGACAGCATCTTTAAATTTAGTAGGGAACCGTTCCAGGGAACTGGCTCTGAGCTCGTTTCATTCAGAAGTGCACTTCTTTAGTTCGGAGAATCGTGAAGCCAGCAAGCCAGTTGCTTGTGATGCGCAAGCGTTCCCTCAACTGTTGGACATGGAGAGTAGCTCGAGTCAGACTCTATGATTAGTATGTATAAGTATATAGCTATTATTTGTATTAGTAGCAACCTCGATACCAGTGTCACCCACCTTCCGCTTTACTCAACATGTCGACAACAGGCATTGAATGGTGTTTCCTTCGTTTTTGCACCCCTGCATCAGGCTCCAACACGCCACCAAAGATCCGCCCCCGCATCGCCGAGGCCAAGCCCCGTGCGGATTTGATTGACTACACCACCTACCTTTATGACTGGCAACGGGGGGGAATTCCTGCGTGGCGCGATCTCGGAAGCTGAAAAAGACAGCTCCAGCGGGCTAAAGTCTGAAGGAGGTGCCGTGTTTGGAAGCGAGAAGCGTGGAGAACCTTGAACTTCATAAGTCATAAGCAATTGGGGCACCTGACCCACAAATGGACACCTAGCAGCTAGGGCACGCCTTGTTTTTCAGGGAAACGGCTCGGGTGTCAGATTGCGGGAAAAGCGAGTGATGAAACAAAATCCTCTCATGTAGGATCTTGATTAATAAACCATAAACCCCCTTGATAATGAAGGGGTGATTGAATTCCAATAGGGGTTATAAATCTTAAGATCCTACATTAAGGGCGGAGGAGGCCTGATTTGTGGCATCCGCTTTTTCTCTCCACTCGGTGAGTGCCTTGTGGCAGCCAGTGTTCGACATCGCGGCGTTGATGTTCGACCGTAACGGCGTTCCTGTTTGTCTTGGTTGCAAATGAGAGGTCGAGGGGGCGGGTGCACCCAGGTTTCAAAGGATACTTGTGGTAAGAGCACGGCTACGTGCATCCTCCAAAAGGTCTCCTCTAGACAGGTCTCAATTGATGACCTGTGGGGTCAGGTGCTGCTACACAACACTCGCAGAAGATGACCCATGGACCCATAGCAGTGTCTCGACCTTGTTTTGCTCAACTTCTCTCCAGGACGATGCCATCAAGCAACTGCAACAGTGGCGCCCTGGAGGAAAGCTTGGATCGTTCCAGATAGATTCAAAATGTATCAAGATTTAACATGTTTTAACCCTGGGATTCCAACCATTGGTCTTCTGCTTGGTCTTTGCAAAGCAAATCAAAGCAATCATTGATCTACGGACTTATGACGGTCCTCTCCGGTCCTCTCCAGGGGAGTAGGTCGCTGCTTGCTGAGGTTCTCTCTCCATGACATGTCCGAAGATGGCCAGATCACCGTCGAAGCGGCACAGATCCTTAGAGCGTGTTATGTGTATTTCACCGGGGGTTTGGTGGTTTTTTCAAGGGCTGTCAGTGTATATTGAACCAACTTAAGTGGCAACTTATACACAGTAGATCTACAAATCCAGTCATAATCCAGTCCACCCTCCATCCCAAAACCCATGGAAGTCGCTTTACTTACGCGACCTCTCCTGGGCCCGTCTGGGTCGGGCAGCCCCGAACCAGCGTCTGGGGCGTCGCTTGGAAGTGCGGCCCCGGATGTCCACTGTAGTGACTCACAGTCAGAGGAGAGTCCACCCCGAGATCAAGAGACCAAGAGGGTGTCCATTAACCACCACGACTGCGGGGGACAGGTTCATAGTATTTTTCTTCATGACATGCGTGCACAGTACCTAAGCAGAGAGCGAGGTGCGGGGAGTGCAGGACCTAAGCACAACACCACCATTGTAACAGCTTTTGGGGGGGCAGTAAACTCAAGCAAGAAGTCTTATTATTGAAGCTTGAGGGGTTGACACTGGATGGGAAATTGCTGGAAGTAAGTCATCCTCAACAGGTCATGGCTATCATGAGTTGGGGTGGTCACGGCTTCCAAAACCCTTAAGCCCTTATGCTTGCACTTGAAAACTCAGAGAAGATTATACCCTAGGGCTCCAACCATATCCTCAGAAGATGGTTAGACCCCCAAACCCACCCCAACCATCTTCTCAGGAGGTGGTTGGAGCCCTAGGGACATAGATTAGATCACCTGACCGCCCTGACTGGGTCCCCATGAATCTTTGGAATGTCGCGGGTTTTCTTCCCGCCACTGCGTAGGGTGTTGTACCCTTCTAACCTGTACTGTTCTGGCGCTGAGTGTTGGCATGAGCATGGGTGAGCCAACAAAAAGAGAGCCGAACGAGTGCCTCTAAATGTGTCCTGGAGCCCAGATTCGAGCGCGAAGGGAAGTCCGAAATCCGGAGTGATGCGCTCCATCCTGTGATGCTTTTGTAACTCAGACAGTGTTGACCAAGGACACTCGCCCCCGTCCTTGGGCCGTTGGTGCGGCCATTGTTTCACTTCGGAACGCCCCGACGTGGCCCAAGGTTCCGCAGTTCGGAACCGACGCGCACCCGTGGAAGTACGCCCTTCAGACCAAAGAGGTACCGGTTCCAAACCGGAGAAGTGGAGAACCTACATGGAGAACCTACCAAATCCATATCCTACAAAACCCTTTTTGGGTACATTGGATGTGGACGCTTCGGTGACCACATCTTTCTGTTTCGAAGGTTGGTCTGCCTGGGAGGGGGTCCACAACGCTGACTGCGACCGCATGGGAGGAACGGGTGCAAAACAGGGGCGCAGCATGACACTTCTTAGAACGAACACATGGTTAGGTAGATGGCACCCCATGTTCAGAAAGGAAGGTAGTCTTCCAAGTGAACGGTTCATCCATTTTCCGCTTCCATGTGAGTGTGTCGGAGTCTATCAAAGGCATCAGTCAGCACTTTGTCTCCTGTACGTCATGTTCATGAAACTTTGTCGCCAAACCTGGCCTGGCTGCCAGCAACTTCACATTCGGCCCTCACCTCAACCGCCTTTACCTCTAAAAGTCAGTGGCCAAGGGCCAACACCTTCACACGTCGGTCACCTTTTTTCAGCCTCCCTTAGTCAAACTCCTTTTGACTCAGTGAGTGGTGCTGGCAAGAGGAGTTTGACTATGAGGGAGGGTGAAACGAGATGAAAACCCGACTGCCAGACACTCACCTCTAAACCTCACCTCCCCTTTGTCGTCAGGCTGGCTGCCTTCACACAATCATGGTCACTCACCTCAAACACCTCAGCGTCCACTCTTCAGAGGTTGAACTGTTCGACTATCCCAGTTGGAAAACCCCCTGGTTTGCGGCTGCTGCACGTCACCGTCAACCCTGTTGACGGTGATGTGGTCACCCCTCAGAGGCTCCTCACGCGACCGATGCCCGCCGGCCTCAAAGGAGAATCGCTGAGCAGCACGATGGCCGAGCCTCCGGGGAGGAGATCCGAGACGTGCTCTCGCAGGCGAGGCGGAGGAGAAGACGGTGTTTGAACACGTGCGCCACCGTTTCGGTACAGGGCGCGTGAGTTCAGGTGCACCAGCGACGTTGAAGCATGCAAGCTGCGTTGGAATCTGACAGTTTGAACTCGAGTGGGTCGGAGAAAATGGGGGGGGTTCGACGGGTTCGACGGGTGATTTTCTTATATGAGGGACCTTAGTACTGAATCAGCCGTGAAATGCAGTTATCATGGACGTTGGTGGAAAGGTGGGTTTTGCCGGGGGGGGTGAAAATCTCGAGATCGTGATTTGCAGACTTTTTGGTGGCTTGAGGCAGTATGTGAAAATTACAGGCAAATATAAGACTTTGTTGCATCATTAGTGCAACTTGTTTTGACAAAATACGTCAGCACTTTTCACAAGGGCATCGGATACACAAATGATAAACAAAATGCTAAAAAAGTGCGGGGCATTCCACAGCAACACTTGCATCACTAAAAGCTGCATGGGAGGCACAAAGAGCACAGAAGAGACGGAAACAAAGCAAATCAACTTGATGATAATTGTTTGACACCAAGGCCCAAGAAGACACAAAGAGCACAGCAGAGACGGAAACAAAGCACATCAACTTAGGATGATAATTTTTTGACACCAAGGCCCACAAGAAGACACAAAGAGCACAGAATGGACACAAGCAAGGCAAACCCTTTTGAACAGAATGGAAAGCACCTGGGAAAATTGACACGGCAACCCCAAAGTATGAAACCACGCTTTTGGGCAGACAACGCGCTGGATCAGGGCTAACCTACTTGAGAAGAGGCGGAAACAAGGCAAGCCAACTTAAAAGGCGTGGAAAGCACATAGGAAAACCAACCAGGAAACCTAAAAATACGAAGCCAACAACACGAAAATCACATTGGGGCCTAGAGCC